GGCCACTGATATTTTAAGATCAGTCTTTTAAGTTCGTGTACTATTTAACTGGCCATGCCCTGGTACCATTCCATCTCAACCAAAGCTAGGGGCGGGGGCGGGAAGAATTCAGCAAAGTCGGAGAGGGGTCGGGGTGGGATAGAGGGATCAATCTTTGTCCAGTCCTGAAAGCAGAGGTGGTAGTCTCTTTCCCCTTCTTCTATGTCTTCCCCTCCTTTCCCCCCTCCATTCCATGTTACCTTTGCAATCCAACCCCCTTGGTCCCCACCCAGCCAGTCTTTGCAGAACCTCATAATATGTTGTTTAATTTCCTGTTTCGAGTGCAGATGCATAATCTTTTCTTTGAGTCTTTCCCATTGGATAGAGATGTAAGGCGCATCTCCTCCAGCACGGAGGCTCTTTTGTGTGTTTTCCCCTGTTGTGTTCACACCTACCAGGTGACTTGCGTCGACATGACCTGCCTTTGCGTTCCTTCTGTACTCTTGTTCCGTGGTTCAGGGATGCTCAAGAGTTCTCTCGCAAGGAGACACACTCCGTCATCACCTCCGCTTTCGTAGTGTCCGTGTACTTGGCCCAATTATCTCAGCCCTGGTGTCGACATGACCTGCCTTTGCGTTCCTTCTGTACTCGGGTGTTCCGTGGTTCAGGGATGCTCAAGAGTTCTCTCGCAAGGAGACACACTCACGGCTCAAAGCTATTATCAATTTATCGCACGGGCAGTAAAGAGGAGAATTGGGGTTGATCTACCACATACGAGGTTTGATCATAGACTGTCTTCAAGTAGAATACATGAGTTGGCGATGAGGATTTTGAGATCCTCGACTTTCCCGGAGACGATTGTTGATATGCTTTGCACCAGCGAACGCTTTGTGAGGAAAAAGAACCTAGCTATTGGTGATCTGGTGCTTAATCATATTAGGAAAGTTGCTAGATCGAACTGTTGGAAATGTTTTTGTTTTGAGGAGGGTGCTGAGTGGGCTAGGCATGGTTTTCATGCTCTTTTTTTTTTTTTTTTTTTTTAAGCAGTCCCTCCAGTGCTAGTGATTTTCATGCTATTACGTCAAAACGGACATTTTTTATTTGTTGAACGAAACTGAAACCGACTATTTTGGCAAGAATCCACCTGAGCCAGGTTGAAGAACGCCGGACCCCCTGGACTTCAGTAAAGTCTAGATACATCCAGGGGGTCCGGCGTTCTTAAAACGCTGGACCCCCTGAACTCCAGCTAGGTCCAAATACATCCTGGGGGTCCGGCATTTTAAGAACGCCGGACCCTCAAAAAATTTGTCAAATTTCCTCCTGGCTTGAGTGGATTCGGGCTATGAAACACCCGCGGACGCGTCCGCGGGGTCAATCTCGGATGGCGGATGCATATACGTCCGCGTCCGCGGCCAGCCTGGTCCGCGCCGCGGACCCGATTTTACGTGATTTTTCCTGAATTAAATAATGGGTAAAAAAAATAAAAAAATATGGGGTTGTAGGGAATTTTAATCCCTACAACCCCTTTTTTTTTTTTTTTTTGGGAAACATATATTTTTTTGGAATTATAAAAAATAAAAAACAGAAAAGGTGGAGAAGAGAAATTAAAAAATAAATTTAAGAAAAAGTTTTTTTTTTTTTTTGGGATTTTTGGTTGGCAGTTCTTTGTATTTTTCGTTTTTACGTTTTTTTGTTTTTTTTGTTTTTTGTGTCCTAAGGAAACAATCAACGGAATGGAAAAAAAAAAGAAGTATTTTTTTTTCCCGGGCCTTTTAATATTTGTTTGTGTGTGTGTGTGTGTGTGTG